AAAAGAAAAAAAGAAAAAGGGAGAAAAAAAGAGGGAAAAAAAGAAATAGTTAAAAAAAAAAAAAAAAAGAGAGAGAGAGAGGCAGCGGTGGGGGTCTCGCAGCCTCCATCTCCGGCACGGCCTCTGGGTGGCGCCGCTGCCGCGGGCCGCCGCCGCGCGCCCGGTAAGAGACGCGCGGGGCCGCGTCTCCCGGCACAGAGAGCGGCGGCGGAGCGGGGGGCAGCGCGGCGGAGCGGAGCGCAGCGCGGCGGAGCGGAGCGCAGCGCGGCGGAGCGGAGCGCAGCGCAGCGGCCGCCTCTCTCCGCGCACGGCGGCGGCGGAGCTGCGCGGGACCGGGGCGCCTCCTGCGTCCGGAGCGAACTTCTTCACGCCTTGCCGCCGGTGCGCCCCGGTGCCCGCTCGCTGGGAACTTGGGCTGCTCGCTGAAATATTGGATTATGTTCCTGCCGAGCCGGGCTGCGGGGAGCTGAGCAGGGGAGGAAGAATGCGGGTCTATTGGATGGTCTTCTGCCTTATTTGCTGCACCGCGAAGGGACAAGTGGTGTACTCCATCGCCGAGGGAACAGAGCGCGGAGCGTTTGTTGGAAACGTAGCAAAGGATTTAGGAATAAACGCGGCTGCACTTTCAGCCCGGAAATTTCGCATGATCACCGGTTCAAGTAAGCAATATTTTAATATAAACGCAACCACAGGGGTTTTATCTGTTAATGAGCCAATAGACAGAGAGCAGCTTTGTGAACTAAAATCTACATGTCTTCTGAATTATGAACTTGTGCTAGAAAACCCTCTAGAGCTTTATAGGATGGAATTTAAAGTCCTGGATGTAAATGACAACTCCCCCAGCTTTCCTTTAAGTGAATATCGTGTAAGTGTGCCTGAGTTCCTGTCAGCTGGGGCAAGATTTGCACTCCCTAATGCCCAAGATCTCGATGAAGGTACTAACGGTGTCCAGAATTACATTCTGAACCCTGATGACCATTTTCATTTGGAAATGCAGACGCACGGGGACGGGAGTGTGTATCCTGAATTGGTGCTGAAGAAAGCCTTAGACAGGGAACAGCAAGCCACTCACAGACTTGTTCTTACAGCCAAAGATGGTGGAGATCCTCCAAGGTCTGGTGATGTCCCTGTCGTTGTGACTGTTCTGGATACCAATGACAATGCACCAGAATTTGAGCAGTCAGTCTACAGGGCAAGCGTCCTGGAAAACTCTCCCATTGGCACATTGGTAGTGCAAGTGCATGCCACGGACTTGGATGAAGGTCCCAATGGAGAGGTCATGTATTCGTTTAGCAATGCTACGGCTACTGACCTACAGCAAATGTTCTTAATTCACCCGCACACCGGGGAGGTGACAGTCAGTGGCGATTTAGCAGTTCAGAGACCTCTCCTCGAGATGCTTATTGAAGCAAGGGATAAAGGGGCATTTGCCTTGTCAAGCACAGCTAAGCTGCTGGTGGAGATCACTGATGTGAACAATCATGGCCCAGAGATAACGATTGCATCCCTTTCCAATCCCGTCCCTGAGGATGCTGTTCCTGGCACAGTGATAGCACTGCTGAGTATTGTGGATAAGGACCCTGGGGAGAACGGGAAAGTAACCTGCCAGATCCCTGATAACCTTCCCTTCCAGTTAAAACCTTCCCTGGAAAACTACTACAGCCTGGTCACCAGCGGGCTCCTGGACCGAGAGCTAATAAGTGGGTACAACATCACCATCACTGCCACAGACTTGGGATCTCCTCCCATCACCACTCAGCAGACACTTTGGGTGCAGATTTCTGATGTGAATGACAATCCCCCTGTCTTTGCTGCTGACACATTTGATGTGTTTGTGGAGGAGAACAATCCACTTGGTGCTTTTCTCTACCAGGTCTCAGCCTCTGACCTTGATATAGGGGAGAATGGGCAGATCTCTTATGTACTCAGGAATTCAACAGTTGCAGGCAGTGCCCTGACCAGCTTTTTGTCTGTGAGCTTGGTCAATGGGAGCATCTATGCAAAACGTGCCTTTGACTTTGAGCAGCTTAGAAGCTTCCATTTCCAAGTGGAAGCCAAGGACAATGGGTCACCAGCCCTGAGTGCTGCCATGACTGTGAATGTTTACATCTCAGACCAGAATGACAACGCCCCAGCCATCCTGTATCCCATCAGCCAGAATGGCTCAGTGGCAGTGGAAGTTGTGCCCCGCCTGGCTGACGAGGACTACCTAGTGACCAAAGTGGTGGCAGATGATGAGGACAATGCAGAGAATGCCTGGCTCTCCTATCACCTTGCCCACTCTACTGACTCCACACTGTTTCACTTGGCACCGCACTCGGGTGAGCTACGTACCGCTCGCTCCTTGCGCTCCACCGACCTCCTTAAGCACAAGGTGGTAGTGGTGGTGCGGGACCATGGGGAGCCTCCGCTCTCCTCCACCGTGACTGTGGGCATCCTGCTGGCTGACACTCTGCCCCAAGCTCTGCCTGACTTCGATGATAATGGGGAGCCACGGCCGCTGCTCAACGCTACAAACATCTACTTGATTGTTTCTCTTGCTTGTGTCTCCTTCATCTTTACAGTGTTCCTCCTCTTTCTTGCCATTGCACGGCTGTGCCACTGCTGGGCTTGTCACCGCCAGGGCTGCTGCTGCAGCATTTGTTGCTGCTCAGCTGATGAGTATGAAAAATACCGATACAGTGTGCACATGCTTCCCAGCTCCCACCTCCCACCGGACATGCTGGAAGTCACTGGTATGGGTAAACTGACTCATACTTACTTGTACAGGGCATCTGTAGGCCTTGGGCTTGAGAACAGCGACATCCCAAATGGGGATGCTGGGAATGTTCCCAATGGCTCAAGGTTACAAGTGCCAGGACCCTGCATCCAAGTGCAACAGATCCAAAGTGACCGTTTGAGTGCTGTCTTCATGGTAAGTACTTCTTCCTTTCACTTGTTTTCTCCCAATCACCTGGCCACTAAGAAGCTCATCCAGGAGAGCAAGTGTAATTTCATGGTGCCTGTAGGAAACTTCTTATCCTTTTATATATTTCCTAAAGCTAGAATCTGACTGGAAGGCTCTTTTTGAATTGGAGCATGGTCATAGTGTGGCAAAATGTGCCACACACATTTAGAGTATGCAGACGTAGCTGAAGATAAATACCTTGTAAATTGAGCCATTCTATTCAGATAGCTAAGTAGAGTCATGATAAGAGTTCACACAAGTTTCTAATCCATGAGAGGTTTTTCTATGTTTACAGAACTAGTGATTTCTTTTCTAATTCTGAAGACTTTTTTCATTCAGGGTTGAGTAATTTAATGAGCCAGGATGCTGGCTTACAGTGTCCAAGTTAGGACTATGTTGGAATAGCAGGAATTCCATATTGGAAACCTCTTGAGAAGATGTCATAGTACTCATCTCTATTTTCAAACCCTAACATGTGATGGGTGACTGTGGAAGAAAATATGTCATTGTCATTACAGTGAGGGGCTACAATGTGGGGTACGTTTATAGATCATATTTGTTGGGTGCTACCAGGTCACTTGTCCAAGATCCAGTTTTCGTCTATGCAAAGTAACATTACTTGTGTTTTTAATAGGTGTTTTGCATCTTATGTATATTTTTGTGAAGTTTTGAGATGTTTTGTCTGCACATTACCAACTTTCCCTACTATGCGTAGCAGACAACTAATGTGTGGATCCAGCAGTTATGGGCCCTAAAAGCATCATCGTTTTTGTGAGCCAGATGAATTGCCTAGAAAGGCTCAGTCATTTGATTCATTTTTTTACTGTAATATTTAGTACTGTAATTAAAGAGTGATCTTTCTTAGTTATGTCAGCTTTGGATGCCTCAGTTTAAGTAACTCAGTGAATCCTGCCCTTCAGGGTACTTTCTGAAACTCAGCACACACCAGTATGTCTCAAGTTCCAACTTTCCAGTTAGGGATAGTGACATAGTTGGACTAGATGATCTTAGTGGTCTTTTCTGATCTTAATAATTCTGTGATTCTGAACGAGTCTACATCAGTGCTTTTTAGGACTGAGACAGTGGCCAGCTCTGTCCAGGCCAACATTCTGTGCTAAGAGCTATTCCAGATGTTCCCAAGGGAAAGGTAAGAACCCTTGGTAGACAGATATGATAATAATCTGTTTCCCACAGTTTTTGTCCTTATTAACAATTATTGGAAATTGTAGTAAGTTTGTAGTCGTGATGCTTATTTCATTATTATGTTTTTTAATGCTTGGAAATGGCCAGTCCCCTTTTGAACCTGGATGTATGGGTAGCTTCAGTAAGTTCTTTGGCTAACAAATATACATTCAACTAGACAGCGTCTGAAAAATATTTCCTTCTATAACTCTTGAACTTTTGTGTAGATTCATTGTTCACTCTTAACTATGCAATCAGTTTGTTGTGTCTCTTATTCACCTTTTAGTGAGGTGAAATAGTTTCATGGGTTGTTTTTTTGTTCTCTTTTCTGAACACCTTTCACACAGAAATCCTATTCTCAAGGAAAGATCTGTTCTCAAACATATGCCACTTGATTTACTCCTGATGGTCTACCTAGTATTTAATTGAAGAGCTGGCCAGTTTTAAGCCACTGTAGTGGAGTAGAAGACTGTGCCTCTCAGTAAGAAAATAGCAGCTGACAGTATCAAAAGAAGAGTTTGTTCCTTATGCTTTGGTGTATTTTGGAAATATCATTGTTTATTTGGAGGATCTCAAAAAAACCTTCCACATTAAAACCTTTGTAGTGGGGAGTTAAAAACTTTTTGGCTATTGCTTAATTCAGGGTTTGTTTGCAGGAACACTAATTGTGTCTTAAAAGTGTATCCTTGGCTGTAGAGTAGATCCTAATTGCAAAACTTTCATAGCAAAAGTGATACAAAAGAACATTTTTACAATTAATGTCTGCGTTCCTATTGAAGAAAATCTTGAAACTCAGATTGCTAACATATTAATGGACTGAGTAATAATAAAAAAAACAAATGCATTCCTGTTCTTTGTAATAGGAACAACCAAAATGTGTCCAATTACTTCTGTCTGTATTTCAGCCATTCAGATAAATTTTTAGCATTGAGATGTGATAGACATTTTTAGGAGCTTTCCATAGTGGGGAAAATAATTCCTGGATGTTTTCTTCAGCAAATTTCTTCCCTTCGCTCCTATGGGATCCCTCCTAGGGATGGGCGACCCTAGTTGTGACAGGTGTGGGAAATCCAAAGGCTGTGCATTAGTTGTGTTGAGCAGAAGAGTAAGGGAGAAGGCTCAGAATTATGAAAATTTATCTACCTT